ACGCGAAGGAGCACGTCAAAAAGTGCGAACAATGTCAGAAGCACGCGCTGATCCTCCGTGCTCCCCCAGAAGAGCTGCAAAGTATCACGGCTCCGTGGCCGTTCTTCAAATGGGGGATGGATTTACTAGGACCCTTCACTGCAGCGGAGGGTCAACTCAAGTGGCTGATAGTAGCTGTCGACTACTTCACCAAGTGGATCGAGGCCGAACCCCTCACCACCATTACCTCGGCAAGGATACGGAGATTCTTTCAGAGAAACCTAATAAGCCGATTTGGGCTTCCTGCCGAGATAATAACAGACAACGGAACGCAGTTTGCTGACAAAAAGTTCCAAGAGTTGATGACCGACCTCAAAATCACACACCGGTTTGCATCAGTCGAACACCCTCAAACTAATGGACAGGCCGAGTCTACCAACAAGGTGATCATCAATGGGCTGAAGAAGAGGCTTTTTCAGGCCAAAGGCAATTGGGTTCAGCAGCTACACCTCGTCCTATGGGGTTACAGGACGAGTGTCCAGTCTGCTACGGAAGAAACCCCCTTCAAGCTAACATATGGGTGCGAGGCTATGATCCCGGTGGAAATCGGCGAGCCATCCTGGAGGACGAACCAGAGGCTGCAAGGAACCGAAAGCCAAAACAAGGAAGCACTCCTTGTAGAACTCGACCTGCTGGACGAGTGCAGGGAGAACGCCAGATACAAAAACATGATGGCCAAGCGTTTGATAACGGCCAGGTTCAACAAAAAGGTCAGACCTCGGTCGTTTCAGGGTGGCGACTTGGTACTGCGTAGAGCCGACATAGGCAACAAGAATGCGAAAGATGGAAAGCTTGCCGCAAACTGGGAAGGCCCCTATAGGATCAAGAATGATCTAGGAAAGGGAGCCTACACCTTGGAAACTATCTCCAAAAAACCAGTAAAAAGGACTTGGAACGCGGATAAGTTGAAGATCTACTACAGCTAGGTTCTAGGCCCGACGCTCGAAGTAGAAAACGAGCTGTCAGGCTCGATTGACAGTTAAAGTTATTTCTACACCAATAAGACGAGTTATTAAGCTCAGTCGGTAGATAGATTTATTTTCAGGCAAATAAAATGAGCTCTTAAGCTCAGCCCTTGTACAAAAGATTTCATTGAAATGCAAGTAAAGCAGTTAATTAATTTCTGTCGTATATGCATATTGACTTCTGATTAGGAAATTGAAGCCTCAGGAGCTTCCTGACCGAAAGGGAATAAAGTTTTGTTGACGAACAAAAAGTAACCTATAATCGGCTAATGAAAAACCTCGACAAAATATAAGTCGATTGTGACGAGATCGAAATAAGCACTTCAAGCGTGAATAAAAAAGAAGCAACGATCTCGGCAAAATGAAATTAGCGACATACAATTTAAAAAGCCGGACTAAAGCGGCAATCATGTTCTGACAAAATAAAAAAGGAGCTCAAAGGCTCCGTAATCAAAACAACACAATAAGGTCGGCATTCCAACCCCTTCATTCTTCTGCAGGAGGTGAAGTGGCGCGAAATTCGGTTCCGACCTCTCCTTCATCAGCGGACTCGGCATCTGGGGTTCCAGGGACTATAATGCCGTCCTTCACCTCGTAGGATACGTCCATGCCATCCACCACCATGCCAGGGTTCAGAATTTGAGCCTGAGCAATAGCGTTGTCGAAGGCTTGAATAGCGGCTCTTGCAACCACAGCTTTTGCCTCTTCAAAATCGGCCTGCAAGTCAGCAAGGCGAGCATCCTTCTCCGCCATAGACCTCGAGAAGGACTCTTTCTCGGCACGCAAGTCATTGGCCTCGGCGGTAACCACCTCCAAGTCCTTCGAAGTCTTATCCAGGGCCAAGGACAGCTCTTGAATTCTGCCCTCCAAGGTCGACTTAGATTTGCTCAACTCCTCTACCTTGACGGAAAGAGATGAGTTAGAAGCATTAGACAAATCGAGGCTCTGATTAAGATCCTGAAAGGTCTGGAGCAGTGAGATCGTTTTCAAAGAATCTTCTTCCATTCGCGCTAACATGGCCCTCACAGTGGTGGTCAAGCCCGAACTCCCAATGAGCCCGGAAGGAGGCTTGAGTACGGCCCTAAGGCGGTCCGAAACCCCCGTTCTCCATAATTCCCCAGGCTCGAGGCTGACCAAATTCCCTGGGAGAGCAGAGGGGGGAACTGAGAGCGGCGACGAAACAGGAGTCGAAGCATCAACCATGGTCACCCCGGCGTCGACCGAGCTGCCGCCGAGTATGGAATCTATCCGCCTCTTCTTCGGAACTCCAGACTCAAGAGCGGCCGACTCTTTTGACTTTCCCTTTCCAATTTTCTTAGGCAAAAACTTTTTGTATTCGGCAGAGGTCATGCTGACTGCAAAGGAAAGAAGAAAAGTCAAAATGCAGATTATCAATTTGAAAGGCAAGATGAACTACAACAAAAGATAAAAAATAAAATGAGCTACATACCGAGCTCAAAATGGCATCCTCCCCAAACTTATCTACAACCCGACTTAAGTCAAAAACTCCGAACTCGTCGGTATATTCAATAAGAACTCGGACCGCTAGACGTTCCGAGCTGGAAAGGGCAGTTAAGGGAGTGTCGTAGTCCTTTGGACGCCTTTGATAATGTCTCGGCGTCCAGTATAGTTCAAACCGAGATAAAATGCCGCCATCGTCGAGCCACTCCTCGGCAAACAAGGGAAGAGACTCAGAACGGGATACCACCTTAAAATAGGCGTCCTTGAAACCCTTAAAAGATTGGGAGTAAGGAATAAAAATCCCTCTGCCAGGGCTACCTCGTAGGGTAACCCATCCCTTCTTGGCCTTGGACTCGGCGCCAGTACGGAAGGTATATACATCAAAGAAGAAGAGGAAAAGAGCAACGGTGCAGGGGAGGCACAAGTATGCACACACTTGCTCAAAACCCCGTACGAAAGCCCATGAATTTGGATGGAGTTGTGAGGGTGCAACCCTAAGACGCCGAAGAACTGACATTTGAAAGTCGGTAAAAGGAAGCCGGATACCTAGTTTGGTAACAAGATCTCGGTAAAAGTAGAAGAAATGAGGCTCATCTAGTATAGGACCTGAAAATACAGGAAAGTCGCCAGGCGGAAGAAGATCAACCCCGTTGGGATTTCCCACAGGGAGTTGGGCCACCTCCGAAGGAGACATTGTGGACCGTCTTTGGAGAACTTCAAGAAGGACCCAATCTTGAGCGTCCGAACCGTCCATGACGATATTCCTGGAATATGAAGGACAAAGATCAGTACACATGCCAACCGATTTCGACCTGGGACTACCAGCCTCGGAACAAGGCGAAGACGAACTCCAAGAGGGAGGAACAGAGCTACCCGAACTACTGACAAGGTCGATAAATGAAACCCGACTTGTTGCAGAGTCCTTTAAGGAGGAAGGGGTGACTGACTTAGGAATTCCAATCTCAGACGAAGAGAGGCTGGATGAGCTAGCGCTCAAGTCAAGAGGAGGAATCCGATCCAGAACGGACCTCGTACCAGAAGCCATCCCAGAAGATGGCAGAATAATGGACAGCGGAACTGGTTCAGGAAGGGAGCTCAGTCTAGGAGCTGAGGGATTCATTGGGGAAGGATTGCTCATGCCAAAGTCAAGCCGTGACTGACGACCCCCTCTAGTTCGGCTTGTTCCCCTCCTACCTCGGCCTCCGCGAGAACCACGAAGGCCCCTACGAGGACCACGGAGAAGCTGTTGAAGCTTTTCCTCCTCGGTGTATTCTCTACCGAAGAACCAGTACTGGACAGAGCGAGGCAAATGGCTCACCGCCTCCTCCTCCCCCACGCCACCTGGCTGGGATGCTGGACCAGAGGAAGAACTAGGGGCACTCATTATGAACCCTCAACACTTTAAAGAGGAAAGTACAAACCCAATCCAAAAAAAGAGCAACGGGGAAAAGCGAAATAAACAGAAAGGTACCTGAACTTGGGAGCAAAGATGGTGAGAACTAGACTCAATGAACAGAAACCTTCACTGGATGCAAGGGGAGCTCCACGAGAATTTGCCACATGAATAACTGTAAAGTCTGGAACCCGTTGAGAAAATGGTATTTAAAGGGGCGACGAGTGACTTGGGCGCGAAGGCGAAGGGTTTTCTCTTCAAACGGTTAAGTGAGGAAGGGGGCAAAATTGGGAATTCACCCTGGGAGCATTAAAAGCACCTCATCATAACCTGAGCAAAATTGAAGCAGTACGCACTGCACGAAGCACGAACTACCAATGGGCGCGAAACACGTGGACTGCCATAACCGTCACAGCAGACACGATGCGAAGGGTCAAATGCGAAGGGTCAGGATAAGGTCCAGACCCAAGTTCCGGGGTCAGGTATCGCCCGGGTATCACCTTCCGATACGACGACTCGACCAGCGTGACGAAAGACAGCCGCAAAGAATTCGGGCAATATCCGACATAGTCAACTTCGACTTCAAGTGCAAACGTCAGGGAAGTATAGTGAGCGAGATCTTGACGACTTGAACAAACTACAAGTGTCGACTCCAAAGTCTCAGAGATTCAAATTTGAAGAGTAAACTCCGATCGACCGAGCCTAAGACGACAACCTGTAATCTCGGCATCACGGATCCCGGAATGCCGAGCTGGGGGGGCAACTGTTATGGATATGAATATCATATCCCAACTACCTAGTAAAATATCCAGAGGGATATTGAATCAGTTACATCTCAACAACCTCAAACAATTAAAAGGATATGAGATAAGGATCACACCCCAACAGAAAGAGGGAATCCAGCTACAATGGGGGGATTTCAGAGGCACAATCCTGGGAAGGTAATCCTATAAATAAGAGCCTAAGAACCCCAGGTAACATTTCAGAACTCATTTATTACTTCTGCCCACACTGTGCACACACCCACCCCTTGGCTATAAGCCTATTGCTTGTGCGCAGTGATTGGGACCTCGGCTGTAAGCCTAGTATACACTTGATATACACTATCTCTGAGCGCATACCTTACGGTATAGCAATACGGTCTATCCAGGACTGAACAGGATACGATATACATTTTGCTTACCATAATTCTGCCAGTCACAATTGGTTAAATTACCATATCATTCCAAAATAGATATTGTACAATTAATTAATGCTTTAGAGAATACTTACATGGCCTGGAGGGATGTGCTTGCCACTTAGAAGATCCAATAACACAGTCCCAAAGCTGAAGATAACACTTTCTGGAGTCACCCTCCCTACAAAAATACAAATATAGTAGCTGTAACCAGAAGTTGTAAAACAACCATCATATACAAGGAAGCGCACTAGGGATTCCCTTTTCAAATATCTTTATCGTATCCAGCATCACAGTGATTTGTTGGAGACTTACAGCTTCAGACAACAAGAACTCTACCTTGGTAACTCAACTTTATAGACTTTCAGTTCAAGTAAATAAATGAGATTTCTAATTAAATTCTGACACAGAAAATGACTAAATAATTTAGGGGGGAATAATGAGGAAAGAACAAAATACGAAACCATTTCTCAGATACTCAGGAGGCGTATAAGCAAGATTTGTGCTATAACTTTTCCCGTCCCTGCTGTTCTTGATCAAACCAAAACATGAAAGCCGCGGATCACCATTCTGCAAAAACATCAAGAACCAATCGATTTTTGTTTCACAAATATACATGTAAAAAAGTAGGACAAAAAGGGTTGTCTTAAATACCTCATCAAATAGAACTCTGTAAGCATTCAAGTCATGGTACAACGGATAACCTTTGTTGCTACAATAATCTAATGCTTCGGTGATGGATAGGGCAACTCTTAACCGCATGTTCCACTCAATTGTCTGATTTTCCCCTGTCACAGGTGAGGCAAAAAGCTATATTATACATAATGCAGGGTTGACCCAAGTGATACACAGTTGCTGTTTCAATGGATTAATGCAAAAAAAAAAAAAAACAGCAAAATAAATAAATAAATAAACAAAAACAGAAGAAGATTATGTTTCAGTTCGACAAATAACATTTCCTAAGCCAAAGCTACAGAGCAAGATAATTTTATCATATGCAAATGAACTCAAAATGATAAGCAAAGATATTTGCTCATAAATAAAGCAGCTTCAACATAGAAATCTGTGGACTATGGTTTCGACATCTAAAATCTAAATTGTAAAGAAACAGATGCTTTGTGCACTAGTGTGAGCAACTCAATTAAAGAGGAATAAAACGGTTAAATAGAACATCTAAATGGTTAACGAAAAATGCATCCTTGGTCATACATCTACATCTATATGGGTAAAAAGTACCCGCACAAGTAATATCAACTAGTTTTAGTCAAATACTTTATGTATCAGAACCAAAAAGATAAATTCCAGAAATAGGCATGTTCTTCATGCCACAATTATTGTTCCAACTAAAATCTGGTTCCGAATACCCTTCACCACGAACATATAAGGAACAACATGTTTAAGTCAAAGAGAAGACTACGTATTAGTTCAAACACTGAAAGTAGCAAAGAAGATAGAAAATGCAGCAGCAAACAGAAAGTACTAGTAATTAGAAGACAAAGAAGAAAGACATACAGTGGAAAAGATGTTTGGCGAGAGTGTCATTGGGCATGTAATCTGCAACAAGGAGCCTCTCATCCCCATCACAGCAATAACCAATCAAATTGACAAGCCTCTGGTGTCTTAATTGCCCAACACCCCAAGCTTCATCCTGTGAAAAAGCAAAGCAAAAAAGGTAAATCCAAACAAAACAAAACCATTGAAGCCAAAGGAATCAGATAGAACTGCAAGAACCCGTACAGCGAATTGCTTGGGATCAGGCCATGCCAATTTAGAAAAGCTCTTAACGGCAATCCAGCGACGGTTATGGTTCTGGAGGCGACCTTTGAAGACTATATTGGGGGCTTTCTCACCGCTCTCCGAGATGATGAGGTCGGAAGCGAAACCGTTGGTGGCGGCTTTGAGGTCTGCCAATGAGAACTCGGAGAACGCCGGGACGTCGCCACCGGCATTATTATCAGCGCCGTTGGAGGAAGAGGCAAAGTTGTGGTGATAATGAGAGTCGTTGTGTTGAGGATTGGAATGTTTGGGAAAATGAGATTGGCAACAGCCCATTACTGTGTGAGTGTGAGGCCAACCCCGCTAACTCTTAGTGTGAAGCAGAAGCATACACCATAGAGATAGAAGAGAAGAGTGACGAAGAAAAAAACAACAGGAATAGGCAAATGGGCCTCAAACACAACACACTCGTGTGTTTGTGAATGCTGGAGAGAGAGAGAGAGAGAGAGGTTTTTTTATGAAAAGTGGCGCAGCTTTCTTTTCTACTTCATTGAATTCTTCACTCTCTCTCTCTATCTCTCACTGGCTCGCTCGCTCGTTCTCTCTCTGTCTGCACTGACAAAACCTCCCTGTTGCTCTCTCTCTCTCTCTTCTCTCTTACGCGATTTGTCCGTTACAAACGCCAAGGGGTATTTTTGTCTCTCTAAAATGGCAAAGTGCATCTCTTGATTTTTCCTCTGATGCGTTAAGACTGTGCGTTACCCGTATATAAAATATTTTAAATTTAACTTGAATTATTTAAGTTAAATTATAAATTTTTAAAAAAATGTAAGTTCTTGTTTGACCTATTAAATTTATGGAATTTTAAATATATATCAGGCTTTTTGATTTTTTTACTCTTCATTTATTAATTAATAACTATTTTACCCCTTATCAAAATTATATCTGCTCCTCTTTAATCGATTAACTTGAATATTTAATTGATTAAAGAGGGGCAGATTGATAGATAATTTTGAATAAGGAGCAAAATGGTGATTAATTAATTAATGAAGAGCAAAAGGGTCAAAAAAAAACTTATATATAAGATTATATAAATTATAATTTATGGTTACTTTATTTTTTTTATAGGTTGAAGTTGATTTAGCCAAAATCTAAAATTGACAACTTAATTGAGTAGATAGAAATAAAAAATAAAATATTGACAAAGATGCAAAAAGTTTAAACATAATTTAACTCAACAAAATGAAAAATATTAGAGCCATATAATTCCTTAGCCATATGTAAAACGGGTTCGGCCGACAGGTGGATTCGTCTCGCCTTGCCGGTCAAAGGGACATGGTGGGTTATGTTTTACAATTCACCTAACTCGCATCGCCTAATTCATTTTGGGAAAGGATATTGTAACAACCAAGTTGTGTTACTACCAATGTTACTACCAATCAATTTCACCGTTAGATCGATTATGTTGATTCAACGGTTATATTTATTTCCATATTTGTATGGTCATGATTTCCCAAATTTAATATTTTATATTTATTTTCACCTTTGTATGGTTACGATTTCGCATATTTAATGCTTTCACTTTAAATATGGGGAATCATAACCATACAAATATGGAAATAAATATAACCGTTGGATCAACATAATCGATCTAACGGTGAGATCGATTGGTAGTAACACAACTTGATTGTTATAATATCCTTCCTCATTCATTTTTTCCTTTTTCTTTTTTAATTTTACTTTGCACATTTCAAAAACGGGATAGGACAAATTGGTTCATTTTTTGACAGGAAGGGCGGGGGAGTTGCCAACTTTGTCAGCTTTTGATTTAGAAAGAAAAATAGAGAGAGAAAAAAGATAAAGGAAAAATTAGAAAAGATAAAAAGATATTATTTTACTAAAAAATATCAATTACCTCGTAGGCTCAGAGATCATGTCTTTTGAAATATGTCACTGACTCATTGGTCTAATTTTTAAAGAAGTCTTTTAATGAGTCTAAATATGTATTGCTTTAGAAAAAGATTAGACCGAAGATAAATTAGCCCATGAGAATTTTTCTGACTCGTTTATACTCCTAATTATATGGATGATGATGATACAACAATTAGATTAATTTTGGATATAGATAAAAACTAAATTAATTTAATTTAATTGAGTTCATATTAAAATTAGATTTGGACAATATGACCGGTTGATATTGTATTAGATAATTTTATTAAAATAATATTATTTTGTATTTTAAAAAGAAAATATTTATAATAATTGAGTTTATTCAAATTTAATCTAAATTAAAAAAAATACGATACTAAACCAATCTATATAAAGTTAGTTCATGATTGTTTATAAAAAAAAAAGGTTAGTTCAAGATTAACAAAAAATCAAGGGTACAACCCAACACAAATCCATAATTGTTTAGTCAACGAGTCCTAATTTACTTTGAACTGGGTAGCACCAAAATTTAATAAAAAAAAATAAAGTTAAGATCGTCAAAACATTAGTTAATACTTTTTAGAGTAAACACCATTTTTAGTCCCTCACAATTTCCACGAAAGCCTGTTCAGTCCCTAGCAATAAAAAATGGACAAATTGGTTCCTGAAATAACAAAAAAGGGGCCACGTTCGTCCTTCTGTCAACTCCACCGAGACGGCCCAACTAACGGTGCCCATGTGGCACGTTAGTGTGATGACGCGGTTGGGACGTTGGACAGCGTGGATGAGCAAACGACGACGTTTTATTGCAAATGGGTTGCAACTTGTGAAATTGAGAGGACGACGTTGTTTCTTGTTCTGGTCATGAACCCTAAATATGAAAATACCCAAAATTCCTTCAATCGAACCCTAAATAGACAAAAATTGCCCAAATCGAAGAGCAAAACCTTAAACTGCAATACGCCACCAAAATCTTTGGACGTTGATGATTGAAACTCGACGACAGTAGAGGACATCAACCGTATTTGCTGGGAGTGGGAGAAGATGAGTGTTTCTTCTGGCATGTGGGGATTTAGTGGGAGTACTTCAATGGGGGGAAGAACAATGACAAGGACCGCCGGTCGTAGGTGCAAACGTGGGAGACAAAGTATTGTCTATACCTCCAAAACTGAGAGGAACCCAAACATGACTTTCCTTGGGTGTCCTAATTTCAAGGTATCAATGTGTAATTTGCCCCTTTGTTGAGTTGGAACAGTTGCTAACCGTGGGTTTTTTTTTTTGCAGGAGAAGAAGCCCTTTTGTGATTTTTTTAGATGGGTAGATGACGTCTGTAATGAAACCATGGAGCTGGAAGAAGCAAGAATTCACAATGTGGAGTTGGATGTTGCAGAAATTAATTTCAAGTTGAGGTATGTGGACATGATGATGAGAGAGCAAAATGTGAAGATTACTGAGCAAGGAATGAAGCTTAATGAGCAGGAAAGAAAACTGAATGATCTATACCTGAAGATGGTGGAGGAGTTAGATAGGATGGACAAACAAATTAGAAATGTTGGTAGGAGAACTAGGGTGTTAGGTGCTATTTGTGTAGGTGTGTTCATCATGTGTATGTTTTTTGTTAGTGTGGTAATAGTCAAAAGAAGTTACCCCAATGTATTTTTCCTTCAACGATGTGTAATGAGTATTCCTTCCTGTTGTTATACAAATTCTGTGTTGGTTCGAATCTGTTTGTGTGTAGTATCATATGGCCTATTATAAAAAAGCCTTGAATGTATTCCTCCATATATTACGGCATCATATATTTATGTATCAACAACTGCAGTACTGGATGCTAAGTTTGTGTTAGTATGGTATATTGCATAGTTAGGCATGGATTGAAGGCCAAAAATTTGTTACATTGTATCACAAACCATCCATGTACAGATATAGATGCATAAATCATGAAATTGCTGATACAGAAGTTGCATACTGTTATGCACATTTGGTACTCATGCCAAAACATGAGGGCCATTTAGGTCCCTGGAAAAAGTATTCGAGGGCCGTTTTGGTTCCTGACAATGAGTGTCGGGGTCCTAATTGGTCCCTGCAACCAGAAAATTGGGCATGATCTGCGTAATGGAAAAAGGTTTTGCCAGTAACACAGCACAAACCTGCAATGCTAAATGACCACCAACCAATGGAATGCACATTTCTATTTTGGCATGACATAGTACCTAAGCACACATTTTATCCACAAATGTATACACAGACATTTTGTAGCAAAAACAAGTCATTACAGTCAACACTCGAGGACCATATTGGTCCCTTACAAAATGCACGGGGCCCTTATTAGTCTCTGACCAGAGCAAAATAGCACCTACATCATTGAAGAATACAAGTGCAGTCCAACATTGTAGAGAAAGAAAGGTACAGAACAGATAAATCATACATGTCTACGAACAACAACAAGCTAACTCAGTTAAAAAACTTAAAATGGACATCAAATAGGACATTCATCAACCCTGCCACATAACAGCTGCAACATTCATCAACCTGTGCATTACATCATATAGGAAACTTGGCTGATCACATGATCAGTTAACAAACACATACTTCATAAATATTTTTTTCCAAACACATACTTCAGTGATCACATGATCAGTAGTGCATTACAAATGAAAGTCAACTGACAGGAATCAAAAGTAAGGCCATATAAATACAACATGGCCAGAATTCACAAAAAATTACATTGACTATATAAGGCCTCCAAAAACATAATGGCCACAATTTACACAAAAAATCACATTATATGCACTCCTTGTCAGTTGGCTGATGCACTACTCCCATGCTCTTCTACAACAGCAGATCATTTTCTTGAGGAAGGCCTTGGTGGCCTGAAACCAGGTGTTGTCATGAAGTGCAAAAATCTTCTTCGTGTGCCATTGGTTGCTGCATTCATTGTCTCTTCAGTCAACACTGCATTTGCTTGTTCTGGATTTGAAGGAGGTGGGATGTATCCTCTCAGGTTGCCTTCATGTGGCTGAGAACTACCAACTGTTGAAGGGCCTCCTTGACTTAATGAGATTTCATCTACTGAGTTCGAGCCAAACCTCAAAGATTGTGGTCTTGCTTGACTGTTACCTTTTTTGGAAGTTGGTGGTCCCTTACAACTCTTTGCATAGTGTCCAGTCTGACCACATTTAGGACACTTGGCTGCATATGTCCTTTTGACTTTCTTTGTACTGCTCCCTTGGTCTTCAGTTGGGTCCTTCTTCCTATGTTTCTTGGGACGCCCAATTGGCCTTTTCAGTTTTGGAGGAAGAGGTTTGGGTTCATCAGATGAAGGCCAATACTTGTCCGAATTCACTGGGTTTAAAGTGTGTACATAAGTGGCATGCAATGCATCCACTGTAAGCCATTGATGGACATAGTTCTTAGCTGGTTCATTTTTGTGACAAATGGCTGCTATAGCATGCTCACATGGCAGTCCAGTCAACTGCCATGCATTGCATGCACATGTATGTGTTGTTAAATTCACTCCAA